ATAATGATAAGGTGATTAATCATTAATTGCTGGAATTTACGGAACCGGAGAGTATATGTACAAGAAAACGCGTCCAACTATCCATAATGCGTAGCAGTGCAGCGGACGAAGTGTTTAAGCATGTAGCAGAGGTCGCGGGTTCGATTCTGGCTTCGGACTTTTGTTCCATTTTTTCTTTGATGTGGTCACAAGCAATATATAAACTGCCGGCTGATTGTGTACAACATTGGCTAGTTAGCTCACTGGTTCTGAATGGCTTTCCTCAACCCCTGGTTCAGGGATCGAATCCCATCTCTGTGTTTTCATATTTTTGCTTCTTAACTTCAATTTACTCCTTATTTGCTTTGAAAGAAATTCCACTTTTATTGACCTCCAACTTGAACTTTTATTTTCTTCTTTTCTTCACACACAAATGTATCAAATAGTATCAAAAGTACCTGAAAATACAAAATACATGCATAGAACTACACATCGTACAAAGTAATGATAAATAATAAAAATATGTACAAATATACAAATTAAGTGACCAAAATTATTAACAAACTAAGCCTAAAAAGTGTGTAAAATACAAGCACATCAACACATATAATAGTTTTCTTGTAACACTAAATGTACACATGCATTCACACATCTCACCGTTAATTGACTAAAAAATTCCTGATTTTTATTGACAAGGTAATTATAACTTTATGTGAACACGTTCATATTTTGAAGTGCACCTTATATTTACAACTTTTGCATTACTAATTATAATTTTGAATTCTATGTGACATAAAATGATTGTCTTCGTATGATGTGTTATATTTTACACGCACAGTAGAGTATCCCAGGTAAAAATAATGACTATATAGAACTATTGTATTATATGTATTTCATTCAACTTCAAGCAGCAAACAAATTTTTTTAAAAATGCATGTAAACATCAAACATTTATTAGAACAAATTGTATTCACTCACCAAAATTAAGCATAAAACAGTCTTTAATTTTAAAACTCAAATTTGTCATTCTAAGACTGTAATGTTAAAACAAACTAATAGCATAACTATGAATTCATTCATTGCTCAGTACTCCCTTCTCTTGTTCCGTCACCTTTTGTTTATCTTCTTTATAGCACAAGTCCTTTTGTTTCTCAACCTTAGAATGCAACTGCACTAGAGCACTATTCTTGCCTCCTAAAATAACAATCACATATCAAAATCCAATTCAGTAGTACAAACCAAATTTAAACAATCAAATTGTATATTTTTTAACCTTCAAAATTAGGCTGAACTTGTACTTGTTTCCCCTTAGAAATCACCGTATTCTTCTTTTCCATCTTACTCTCACAAGCTACTCCTTTTTTTCTCTTTTGTGGCAATGTTTTGCGGTTTTCTCCACTTCCTATTGCATTTGTAAGATTAGTTACAATACTGAAATTCATCACTAAATGCACCTAACAGCACCTTCAAATGCACTGTCACTTGACTTTTAAACATCATTACTACAAATTGTTATTAATCACACCAAAACAACATACTATCATTCCTTATTCACTTAAATATACTTATTTCACTTATTCATTTAAACATGCTATTTAAATGCATTTATCAAAACAACAATTGAATCTCATTTACATGCACCACATGGTTCCAAAAAAATGTACCCTAGTAGTCTCATTCTGAATATTCACTAAACCTAGCTTGACATAAAAAAAAACACCAAATCATTATCACTACTTATTCGTTTTTCACTTAAATATAGTGTACATAAATAATAAGGTAATACTTATTTGACTTGACTTCTTCTTTCATACATGTTATATATATGATTTTTCAAAATAACTCCCTTAAACAAAATCTACATGCACCATCAATTGCATCTTTACCTAACTATTTTGCATATAAACTCCATCTAAAAAAATCAACATTCATATGCATATTAGCTTCATAAAAAAACCAACATTCATATGCACAAATCTCAATTACATACACCACTCCGTTTATCGAACTGCACCCTACCTTTCTTAGTCTCCATTTTAACTCGCATACTCAACATTGAATTGCACCTTTACTTAAACTATTTTGCACATTAACTCCATCACACAACACCCACATTCAACTGCACAAATTTGAAAATAAGGACATCAATCAAGAACACATAAACCCACATTCATAACCAAAATGCACTTCATTGAAGCTTAAGATGCACACTTCATTCAAGTGCAACTCTATATTAGCAAAGAAATTAAACATTACAATATTCAACGCTCAAAATATAACACTTTACTCAATCTGATGTCCATCCCATATGCATCCACACAACTCTCTCAGTGCATATCAAATCAAAATTCTTCCATGCAAACATAATAATCTAAACAATAACAAAAACCGGACCTTCTTCGCAATCCAAAGCAATTTGTCGCATTGCGTGTTCTTCTTGGAGTGAAGCCATAAGCGCAAATGGTATTTCAATTGTCGTTGTTGTTCACAGAAGTCGTCGTTTGTCGACCATCAAGCTTTTTCCGCTCACAGGGAATGCTTCGTGCTTCTTCGATCTTTGTTTGTTGGTGCATTAACTGTTTGGACAAAACTCTGCATATTACCTTTTTTTGATTTGCTATTTATGGGTTGTTGGTATCGTCGTGGGGATTAGCGCATTTTTGGTGATTTCCTTCCTTATTCGTATTCTAGCGGTTCCCATTAAAAATTTATCAAATTACTTTATTTGTCACGCCTCATCTAAGCGTGTGTACAAACGCCGCATCTAAGCGTGTGTACAAACGCCGTATGATCAAGTGACATCACTCACAAGTCAACCTCACTTAATCATACAAGGCGTCATTGAACATAGTTCATACCATACTCAGTAAATAAACATACATAACAACATCACATTTAAACCAATGAATAGCGGAAATATTCAACGGTAAGTCATGGGCCACATCCGGCCAAAACATGGGTTCGCTGGCTCAAAATAATTTATAGAAGTTCAAATAGTCATGATCAATGTTTGTAGTTTCAAACTAATAAGGAAGCACGAACCACGTCTTCCTTGATGATGACTTCACCTGGTACAAAGGTGCAGGTAACAAGCTCTAGCTTCAACCTGAAAAATGGTGCCCCCCCCGAAGGGGTCAGTGTATGTGTGTGTGTGTGTGTGCACACTTGGAAAATACCCGGTCCGTAGACCATTGTTTATTTGGGAAATGTTTGTAGTCAAGTCTTTGACTTAAAATCCCAATCCACCCAATACCTATGAGTGTAGGACTCCTCCAGGTCCAACCAAGTATCTTAAGGACACCGCTCGATCCTGAATTACTAAACTGTAATCTATGAGTTTTGAGCACAGTCCAGTCCCTGGATACTCCACCAATTTATCAACCAAGTTTTTAGGACAGTCCGGTCTCTGGGTACTCCACCAATTTATTAACCGAGTTTTTTGTAACACTAAACATACACATTCATACATCTCACCGTTTATTGACTAAAAAATTCATGATTTTTAATGACTGTAATTGTACCTTTATGTGCACACATACATATTTTGAATTGCACCTTATATTTACAACTGTTGCATTACTAATTATCATTTTGAATTCTATGTGACATAAAATGATTGAAGTTTACAAAGGTGCATGTAACAAGCTCTAGTTTTTTAACCTTCACAATGAGGCTGCACTCGTGCTTGTTTTCCCTTAGTAATCATCTTACTCTCACAAGCTACTGCTTTCTTTCTCTTTTGCGGTAATGTTTCGCAGTTTTCTCCACTTCCTATGCAATTGTAAGATTAGTTACAATAGTAGAATTCATCACTAAATGCACCTAACAACACCTTCAAATGCACCATTACCTTATTTTTAAACATCATTACTACATGCCAATTGTTATTAATCACAAAACAACATACTATCATTCCTTATTCACTTAAATATACTTATTTCACTTATCCATTTAAATATGTTATTTAAATGCATCTATCAAAACAATAATTCAATCTCATTTACATGCACCACACTTTTCCAATAAATTCTAGGGAAAAGGGTCAGATAGGCCCTCGAACTTACATAAAAAAATCAAATAAGCCCTTATATAGGAGGCTCTGTCCGGCCGTCGCCATTTGGGGTGGTTCCCAATGGAATTTTTTGATGAAATGTTTTGAGCATATTATTCATTAAGTCTAGTTTACTCATACTAAATTGTAGCTAAAACTTCAATCGTGAAGACATTCAAATGAATTCTTGAAGATAATTGGCATTCAAATTATGACTAAACTTTAATTTGTCGAAAAAAATGGCATTGTTTGATATTGGTATGGCATGGTACCGTTTGGAATTAGAACCTTACCGAACGGGTTTAGGTCCGAGACCGAACCGAACAAACCGTTTCAATAGTAACGGCCCGGGTACGGGTTCGGTAAAATATTAGACCGGATCGGACCACGCCCACCGCCTAGATTTTTTACCCCTAATATAATTAATTAATTGCCTCCTAAGTCCCTCAAATAATCGGGTCATTCGATTAGTGACATGCGGTCCATTGATTTTTTTTATCGATGAGAAAACGTAGGCTCCTATTGATGAAGACATTTTTTCTCAGGACTTCAACGATTGTAATTAGTGTATTGTGTTACCAGAAAATACTTTTAAAAGCATTGAAGTAATTCATCAAGTCTGCAGTATAATACTCCCTCCGTCGCATAAAATAGTTCCCGCATTGACTTGGATCAGAGTTTAAGAAAGTGAGAATAAATGGAAATGTATGATTGTGGTTGTGTAAGAAAAAAGTAAATGAATTTGAGTCACACAAAATTTTCCAAAAAAAATGAGAACTATTTTTTGAGACGGTCCAAAAAAGAAACCGAAAATTATTTTGCGGCACGGGGGAGTATTCTACTACGGAGTATCATTTTTTTATTATCATACTACGGAGTATCATTTAACAATGTCACATTCCATGAAAACGGGATTAATTACCAAAAATTCCACATTTTCGTTTTTTTGTTCGGGCAAGGGAGACTAATGAAAAGATGAAGCATCAAAACTCAAAAGCAACCCTAGTGGTCCCACAACCAGAAGCTTTAAATTCCCGTCCCGTTCTTGCTCTCGGACACAACCCCTTCTTCAGTTCTTCCCTCCAAGCCTCAACGAATTCTATCGTCAAATCCACTATAAACCGCCTTTTCCTCCGTTTCACCCGCCTCCGCCGCCGTCTACTAGAGGTACGCATAATCCATTTACGATCTTCGTCGGAACAAATTCGCAATTTTCAGATTTCGTCCTTTCTTCTTTATTTTCATTCGTAATTCTGTCTAATAACGTTTTCATCAAATAAAATGGAATAACTCTTAGTTTTAGTTTTTTTATTGAATTGTAATAATTGAATATCAATTCATCCAATCACGTTCTCTGCGGTGTGATTCGATATATATTGATATACGCGAGGATATGAATGCGAGACACAGTTATTGCAGTTGTATTTGATATTTATCGCAGAGGCAGTGTATGGGGGAAAATATGAAGAAATTATCGTTTGTAATTTTGGTTTAATCCAGGGAGAAAAATGGATCAAGTGGCCAATGGCCTCCAATCTGATGAGTTTTACGGCGAAATAGAATCCCCTGATCAACAGTGCTGTCAAAGTAATACGGTCTTAAAACGTAGGTCAAGTTTGTTCGCCCCCACAATTAGTTCTTCTAAAAAAGTAAACACTGTGAAGATAGGTGAGATTGATGCTTATTTTACTCTATCATTGTGTAATTTGTGACATTACTTGTGACGTTTTGGATATTATTCCTGTCACACTCGTTTGCTGTATTTAGAAACACCTTTCTGTGGTAATGTTATTACTTGGACCTAGTTTGCAGTTATTGATCTAGGGAGGCACTCTAGTGTGTTGATAATGATAATAATATGATATAATGATATATGATCACTCAACTTGACCCAAGTTAGGAGCCTCGATGTATCTGTTTAATGTCATGCAACTTTACTTGGTTAATGTGATTTTGGATAGTAATCTGCAAGATGAAGACATCTTAATTTCTCATCATCATTCTTTTTAAGAAAATATTGACACTGTTCTATTTGCGTGAAATTAGTGTTAACTAATTAATCTGTAATTAATTTTAGATCATTAACTGACTATAATAAATTTAAAGATTACACGAATATGCTTTCATATACTTCGTACGTATTTGCCTTTTAACACTCATCTAGTTTTGCTTACACATGTTTTTTGTTCTGCTATCAGGACAGTCTCAAACTCAATATAATAAGCCTCCATTGCCAGGAAAAACTTGTGAACTGCATATGAATAATAGCAGAGAGAAAATTGATCCAACTATCAAAGTCTCAACACGTGCTACTAAAAGAAATGGTAAGATTTCGATCCCTAAAGAGGAGGGTATGGTCAAGGCCCAATCCTCTCAGCCCACCAAAGATTCTTTGACTGAGTCCCAAAGAAGTAGAGCCAAGAAAACTTTAGACCTCCAGCAGGGACAAGTAAACACCAATTCTGTTATTCCAACCAAAGCATCAACCAAATGTAAGAAAGGAAATGCCATGGCTGGAACTTCAACATCTCTCCAGAGTTCAATGGAAAAAGGGAAAACACACATGTCAGGTAGTCAGTCTAGAACGTCCACACGCAGTAAGAAGTCTTTCTCACCGAAAAAGAGCTTATCGAATAAAGACCACATCTACCATATCAAATATGATGGTAAGTTCTCTAAGGTTAATCAAATGCTCTTTATATTTTTACATCATTGATTTTCACTTTTATATTTGAGTCATATGCACTTTTACTGCAGTGCATTAGTCAATGTTGACAGTATAAGGCGACCCATGTTTGGCATGCTATAACATAGTTTTTTAGGTGAAGCTTTTCAAATACGTTCTGTTTGGTTGGAGCCTTGGATGAGCTTATTTGATAACCTTGAGATTATTTCATAAGCTTCTTTTAGCAATTATTTTAAAATAAGACCTTTTAGCAATTTATAAAATAAGGCCTATCTTTTCAACGTTCTTTTTGTGCACTTTGTATTTCAAAAATAGCTTAACAAGCACTTTTATAAAACAACCTATCACTAATATTGAGCTCTTTTCGTCAACAAGCAATTCTCCCTCCATAAACTATTCATCCACTAAGTAATTATTGTCCATTTAGCAGACCAATAAAGTAAAACATAGTGTAATGATGCTGTCCTCCCATATTTGTATTTCACTTTTGGTTGTTATATTTAATACCTAAACCTAATTGAGGGCGTGTTTGTGAATTTATGAAAAAGTGTATTATCACCTTAATTACTACTACGTACAATTTTTTCATTCATGGACAATTTTTTGTAAATGGAGGGAGAGTAAGATATGAACTATCCACTCCTAATTAACGTGTCACCTATTGTTAGTGTTCATACTTATTTTGGTAATTGTGCATCTAATGTTTCACAGATTGTTAAGTTTACATAATTGTGACAGTGTGCCAAGATTAACAAATAATAATACTTCCTTCTGCATTGCAGGGTTCTCTAAAGAACTAAAAAAGGTTGGAGTTACATGTGTTCTATGTGAGGAAGATCTGTCCTGCATCTCATCCGATTATGAATATCAATATTACGAGGATCAGGAAGAGTCTGGACCTATGAGTTACCCAGAAGTTGCTGTTTTGCAATGCGGTCATTCTTTCCACTTTAGATGTTTTGCTTATTCTATACCTGATGAACTGTGTTTTGATCCTCCTTGCGTGTTATGTGCCAGCTACGAGACTTGAAACCCTTCACAATTTAGTTTCAACAGATTTGTATACATTCTTTTTTGAAATAATTTTTGCTGGCCCTAATTGTGAAGTAATGAAAGTTTTTCAACGTAAGGTTAGGTAGCTTTTTCGAGGGTTCACTTTGAACACAACAAATTTCTTGCTAGTACTGTGTGATTGCCTAGAATGTAGGGATCAGTACAAATGGTTAATCGCAATTTGAGTTAACCAATTCTCGGTTAATTGGGATTTCGGTTAGTATATTTTCAATATCATTACTCGTACCATAACATGGTTTAAAATCTAGATATAAACAGAAGTGGTTAGTTTTAACTGATGTATTTTCTGATGCAACAATATGTCTAATAATACACAATCTTCAACATCTCTACCGAATCATCTTAAATCCCATTCTTCAAGATTTCGGCGAGTCACTCACTCGACGAGTATCATCACCTACACACTTTTTGGCATCTTTGAGCAGATTAGAAGGGGATATAGAGACCCTACAGAGTATAAGGAAGGGCATTTTGGGAAAAAATGGCTGATTTTTCAGAAAACTTAGAGATTCCTAGCTATGTTAGAGCTTACCTATTGGAACTCCTGTAGTTCACATCAGCTTTTTCCTCATCTACGAGTAAGATTGGGCAAATCTGCAAACTGGAAGTAGCAAGTCAACAATTGATGATATTCCAAACACTTTGGCTACACTTGATAGATTGCTTCTTTGGGTTCGCCGTGAGGGTGACCAGTTCTCCAATCAAGGAAAGAAGATGAGTGTTGAGGAGAAAATAAAAGAAGGGGATGATTTGACTCAGGCTTAGAGTAGGCTGAAATATGTAATCGTGTGATTAACTTTAGGTTATCACTTATCACTTGATCAGCGGAAGGTGAATTTCAAACCTGTAACCATATTGTGAGCCGCTTTTTTTTTGTTTGAAAGGAAAACAAGCATATATACTCCGTATTAAATTAGAACTCGCAGTACATCCAGAAGAAGTTGCAAACAATAAATGTAACACCTGACACAACCCTCCCTCTAATCAAACATAACCAGAAGCCCCTCGCCCCCCTCACTTCTTTATCAGACATAGAATAGTCCGCCCCAAAAAGAGCGAGACTAATCGCTGAAAATGTGAGAGTTTTGAGACTATTAGTGGTTGAATCATGATTGCCTCTCACCAGCAATCTAAAAACTAAGGTACCCAAACTAGAAAACTACCTGACTTCTTATATATGACCTAAAGAAAGCAAAATAAAGATTACCAAACAAAATATAGAAAAAAATAAATAAATAATAGCTGCAACGCCGTTTTCGAAACCCTAGTCTCGTAATTCCTCTGTGGCGGCGGTTCAGGAGGGGGACGAATCACCCGCATACCATCTTCTTCTTTCACCGCCTGAGGCGGCCAGAACACCCACATACCATCTTCTTCTTTCACCGCCTGAGGCGGCCAGAACACCCGCACCGATTCCCCAACAGCCAAATGGAGCCCAGAATCACCCCTTTAATTGAACCCCATACCTCCGGTGTTCCACCCGGATCAAACACAACTGGTGCAACTTCCATCTCAGCCATCATCAGTGCTAAAATAGCCAAACCAATCATCGGAATCTCGGGTCTCACAACCCCTGCCGCCGCAGATCCACTGTCGCCTTTGAAAGCACTGAAATACATTTGCCCCACTCTCTGTCGCGCAAAACTCTTGGCCTCCTCCTTGTTCATTAACGCTGCTTTTTGCAGCAACTTCTAGTCGTCCCCCTGAGTCGCAGACAAAAACAGTCCCCTCTGCGATAAGCTTTTAAACACGAACCTCCAAAGACCTCACCCTGCACTCGCTAGCGAAATACCAGGACACTCTCGCCGTGCGATTCACAACGCCGCCCGCCAAAACTCCGCAGGGCGCAGGCGATGGTCTAAAACCCTAGTTGCGCCTGATTAAAATCTATCTGTCCTATAATTTTAGCACCAAAAAGAGAAAAACAAAACCATGTTTGTGAGCCGCTTTTCTATTCAGTCATTTTACCATACCGTGAAATTTTAAGGATATGCTACATTTAACCAAAACAATGGCGATTTTTTTATTCTCCGGCCATTTCGATTACGGTTGTTCATGCTCACCCCTCCTAGAATGGTTAGTTTCAACTTGTATAATTGGGACCCTAGGCTTGACCACATACAGATGAGACCATCAGTAGTGTGGGGTGTACCATGTGAACAGGTCTGTGCCTTATGTTAGGCTGGAGAGGCCCAAGCCTCAGGGCCCCAAAAAATTGAAAAAATTAGGGGCCCATAATTTTGTAAACATTACTATTATTATACATATGTATTTTTCAAGGCCATCGTCATTTGGGCGGTTCTCGGTGTAATTTTTTGATGAATGTTTTTGAGAATCTTCTTCATTAAGTCTAGTTTACCCGTACCAAATTTCAGTAAAAAATTCAATCGGGAAGGCAGTCAAATGAATTTTTGAAGATAACTGCGTAGTTAAACAGCGCAGTATATTTCAGAAAATCACTTGACTGCCTTATTGGTTGAATTTTTTGCTGAAATTTGGTATGAATAAACTAGACTTAATGAAGAAGATTCTCAAAAAAATTCATCAAACTTCTACTGGGAACCACCCCAAATGGCGACGATCGGACATAACCTCTTGTTTAAGGGGTGATTTGCACTTTGTAAGTTAGTTCGAGGGCTGATTTGTAGAGAAAATTAATACTACGTAGTATATTTTCTTGAGGATTCCACTAATTTATGTAGCTAAAAGCCTAAAATTGTTCGACGGGTTTTACTTAAGTAATTTTGTAATACATTCAATGTCGTTTTGTTTGTGATAATGGAAGACTTTTTTTGAAAGATTGCATTTTTGTGATATTTAATCATTCAATTTTAGTGAATTTATATGATAAACAAACGCTATGTGGGACCCATTTTATGAAGCTCAACTCAGGCCTGAGTTTAGGTAGGACCGGCACTGCATGTGAAGGGATGACGAGTTTCTAGTCTAGATCTATACGAGCTGCATTGACTATTCACTGGTTGAATTGCACTCCAAGCCTCCAACCATGACTAGTCAGTTGCTCTGAGATGTGCTCCAACAGTCCAACCAAATGGGTACTGATTGCCAAGCACTATGCTTTTTCTTCAAATGAAAATAGGGAAACAAAAAGACACGAAAACATTGATGAAATTTACACATGGAAAGAAATCTCAAGAATGCGCCCCATTTTAAAGGAGTTAAGAGCATCTTTAGTAGTAATATGGATTGATTAAAAATGGATTGCCACATAGATAAAATAGCTATTCAGATAAAACAAGCATCTCCAATGGAACCGTCCATTTTAACGATAGTGCTGAGGTGGAAACGAAATGAATCCACTCCGTGCAGCACCCTTTCTCATTCTAGCGGGTCTAATTCACATCGTGACTCAGCAAATGATTTTTTACGAAAGTTTGTTGGGGGCTTGGAGAAGTATTCGCACAATCCATCTCAAATCGTAGGGCTGAAAATGCAAAGCAACAAAAGTCTTTTTCACATGTTCAGAAAGGCATATCAAATTTGCATATTAAATAATGCCTCCCGGGTGTTTTTTTTCTTTAAATGCATTGGAGCATAAATGCATTATTGCGTTGGAGTGAAAATTTTATGTTAAATGTATGTGTGTGTGTGTGTCCACATCACCTCCATAGCCCGTCTATATAAGTGATGTGTCCATATTTTATGGAGTGCAATCCATTTTCCGGTTTTCCCATTAAAGATGCTCTAAGTTCAGGTTAAGTATTTTCTCTAATCACTCATTCAAGCCTTCAAGGTATAACTCTTATGTAGTACGGTCGTACGGACTACGGAGTATATGTTACAGATAACCACTTTTTCTAAGATTGTCTTATGAAGTTGATTAAGGGAGTGTTTGCGATTGCTTCAACTTTAAAAAAGTGATTTTTTAAAGTGATTTTGGGAAAAAGTGATTAATAGTAAAAGTTGGTAGTGTTTGAGAAAAAAGTGATTCTGAAAAAGTAAAAGTTGGTAGTGTTTGATAAAATAAGTACTTTTTGTGTAATAGAAAAAGTGAGAAGCAGTTTAAAGCACCCTTCTACCTGCTTCCAGCTTTTAGCTTTTAAGTGATTAATTAAAGTAGAAGCTATCATTTCAAAACACTCTTTTCAACTTTTTTTAAGCCAAAAGTTGAAAAGCACTTTTTTTTAATCAAACCCAAACACTCCTTAATACCCAAATCCTTGACTTTGCAAGTTTGCATCAACTTTACTTGAAGATAAAGACTTATAAATATAGGCTTCCTTTTTTGGAAATCAAAGCAATTGAAACATGACATTTTAAGGGAGGGATTATTAAGAATGTTTTACTCATACTGATTTTGGATCTCAATATAGAAAATGTTTTTACTTGCACTGTTTTCAATCCCAGACCAAATCAGACCAAACTAGGCTTTGACAGTTATAATTTATAAAATACACAAAGACCAGACATTTACCAGACCAGATCAGAGCGGACCAGAAAATTTCAGTCCAAGTAAAAACATCCTATGATGGCAGGTAGAAATGAATAAGTATAAAGCATACACAATTTAACTATGGTATTTTTTGTCTGATATTCCATATAACACTAGTTAGCAGTAATATCGATATACATTAGAATTGGAATTATGCTCATGCACACCACAACTTGGATATAATAACCAGTCGTTAACCAGATATTGGGGTTGCTTTTGATTTAAATCACACGAACTGCTTTAATGTGAAAGCATTGGAAATATAATTAAAAACATCACAACTTGGACAAAGGCGAGAAAGACGTGCTTCTTGAATACATTTGTAGGTTTAGAAAGTTAATAATAATACATGAATTCTGGTGAGGTTGAAGTAAAAAAAACAAGTATTCATGCATTTACTCATTTACTTATAAAGAACTAAATCAATGAACCGGTTCATGACACTGTTGATGCTCTAGTTAGCCCGATTCACCTTCAGATAAGGCAATGCACCTATCACATTGTTGTA